TAAATATTAGTGACGTAAGTAACTACATATGTATGTCGTCAATGGCAAATATGTTACGTGGAGGTCATGTTGCTTGCTCAATAATTCAATCATTTAATTTTCAAACGCCTACGCAGTATGACGAACAAAACTAGTGTTTAAATTGGAAGTTATATGTTCATTTTAAGGTCGCAAAATTGTTTTTTCGATAATGGAACAAGAATCAAACATAATATCTACGTTCCATGTACAGTGCGAGTTTGAGCGGGCTCTTTTTTGAATAATATATATTAACTTTATTATCATTGGAAGGATTAGGGATTTCGGGACGTGGATTTTAAAATTGCAGGAGTTATCTAGCACAGGCATAGGCTGGTTTTATATGACATTTATTTATCTATGTTTATGTGTATGCTTGGGTCCTGGCAATGGCAATTCTGTCCCTTATCCTCGATACTTATCGTTTGTTAACAAGTTTCGTTTCTGGATGTTATTAGAGAATTTGATTTTTAATGCTGAAATTCTGTAACATTTTAAAATTTAAATCTAGCGAAATTTAAAAATAGAAATCCATCGCAATTTAAAAATACAAAGGAAAGTGAGATTTAAATAAGATATATTTTTAATTTGATCAATGTTATTTTGTTCAATGATAAAAATTTCGAGTATTCGTTAAATTTAAAAAGATGATATTAAGTATAGTATTTCGTGCTTAATTGTTTCGTGCGGATTTTGTTTTTGGATTAGTTCGTACGTTACTTTTCTTATCGTTGTATTTTAGTTTAAATATTATTGACTGGATTGAGATGATGGGTTCGGGATGACAGTATTCAAAATGAAATGATATTTAATAACGGGATTCTCAAATCGGAAGTATTAACTTCCCCTGGCAACGACGAACAAAGTTACTAGTTAAAAATAAAAAAAGCTGAATCACACTTATAGACCCCACAGTCTCTTCAGGCACATAGTTATCAGACTCATCTATTGTCAAGGATGTATGTCAGATACTTGATACTATCTCCATCGTTTCGGCACAATCAGCTTAAGAATCTCATTGCTTCGTCATCTCATGACACGCAGCAAAGAAATTGCCACGGACGCAATCTCCGCCGAAGTGACAATGTCATCAAAATCTAGCGTGTTCTGCCAACGAGATATTGCCCTGCCCTGTGGAAAGTAACAGCAACACTGATGACTCATGATCAGACGACGTTATTAACAGGTAATTCAAGTAATTCTGACCGACGAAGGCATTCAACTATGATTAGACCGGTGGGCGATTTGAAATCAACAATTTCATTATTAAAATTACTCGATAAATCATTATTTATGCCATGTCGTTGTTTGCCAATTAATTAAATTAACTGCTCTATAATAATTATATATTCCATCTTATTTGTAGGGTTTGAATATAGTTTTGCTCAAATCACTGATTTGAAATTAGTTCCTCTCGAATGACACTAATCTCTACTCCACGCAAAACTATTAGAAAGCCACTCCTCCTGGCTTATTTCTCTCTTCCTTTAGATATTTTATCCTTTGTCATAGTTTCTTTCATGCCGATATCATATGTTTTGATTATAATATTCATTTTTAATCTAAGGAGCCCACGATAGGCAGTCAGTCATGATCTCGCTCTTGGGAGTCAATTTCGCTCTCGTGACTTATTGACCTAACCAATTTATATTTTCATTCATAACTCCATTTGATCTAAATAATTTTGCGGGGTTTGAATATCGCTCGCTTCGTTTTATTGCTAGCTTAAGATTGGCCTAATGAAATAGGGAGGTTAGCTCTCCCTGAGCAAGGCGTGCACTGCTGTGGAAGGTTTAGCTCTCCCTGAGCAAGGCGTGCACTGCTGTGGAAGGTTAGCTCTCCCTGAGCAAGGCGCGCACTGCTGTGGAAGGTTTAGCTCTCCCTGAGCAAGGCGTGCACTGCTGTGGAAGGTTAGCTCTCCCTGAGCAAGGCGCGCACTGCTGTGGATGGTTTTCCCTCGCTATGCACGCCGCTAAGGCAGCGTCAAGTCATCAGGGTTCATGGCACTGCAGCAGGCAGCCACATGACGCTGCTGGTGTCAGACCATTACAACTGCTGCTGCTGCTAGTGCTGCTGTTGCTGGTGCTGCTCGTGCTGCTGGTGCTGCAGCTGGTGCTGCTACGGTTGGTGCTGGTGCTGCTGCTGGTGCTGTTGGTGCTGGTGCTGCTGCTGCTGCTGAGGAGACCGCTGCTGCTGCTACTCATACATCTGCATTGTCTGTGTATGATGCCACTGCTGATGCATATGCTAATGCACATGCTGCCCTCTTTAATTGCACAGCATACGCGTAGTGACTCCGATGCGCAATTAGAAAAAATTTCTATAAAAATCAACCGAACAAGTTAATGCATATATCTTTCTTAAATATTCACATGCTTCGTCTGAGTAAAAACTTCAACTTTTGCGACTATTCCCACGCGTCTGCGCTGCGTCATTCTGACGCAACACACCGGGGCTTCTTAGCGCTTCTTTAACTCTTTTTTACTAAGAAAACTTGTTAAGCAAATCTTGTGCACTAACGACGAAGTCACAATGCAGTCACAGTACTAAGATTGTAGGTGAAAAGCGAGTTTCAATATTAATTGGTTTTTAAAGTAGCAAATTTAAAAATAAATTAACATCAAAGAATATGCTTCGGGAAAACATTACTTTTAATTGAAAAGATTAAGATGACGCAATAAATTTTCCTTGCATTTTCTTCGTTTCAAATTCTTGGTCATGCAATGTAATTTTATAAGATGGGGTTATTTGTTGACTTAACTTAAAAGTATTCACAACACTTCAGTGATATCATGGTAATATCTTATTTAGTCTCTTAAATAAATTTTCCTATTTTTCAATACACATAAATAAATACAGGTCAAAGAATAAGTTAACTCCAAAAATAGTGACAGAATAATTAATTGATAATTATTTATTCATATGTTATGGATTTTCGTTCCTACTTTACAATGAACATGTTTACCGAGCTGGTTCAATAATAAATTTATATTCATACATTATTCCATCTAGTACCACGCTTATCATATTCCAGATTTATTCAAGTGGATGTTTAGCTACTGTACACATTCATCCGTCTGTTCCATGCCGGCAGAAGCTCGCCGTCCGCTGCAGTCGGCGCGGACGCCATATGGCGAGACCGTTCCGCAACTGCGGACCGCCGGAGCCTTCATTTTACTCTCCTTTCTTAAGACCTGGAAAAAAAATTCAGCAGACAGTAATGACGAGTTGCGGTCAGCTGCATGAATTTCTAGGGTGAAAAATTCATTGAGTTAAAAATACGACAAGATTGTTTTGCTTCGACTATTCCACAGATTTCCGATGAATAAAATTGTTTGCTTTCAAATTCTCTAAAAAATTCTCGAGAAAATTGCTTATTTTACAGGTGGCATGACGATCTACTTCACAGTGAGTGACCGCAACAGGAATCCATTTTATGTAAGATTTTCACAATAAACTGTAATTCTACGATGATCCGATGATCCGAACTTGGATTTTTACACTTGAGTCTATTGCTGGGATTTTGAATATTGAACCATGGTAGCCTATTTGGTTACCGATGCCTCCGGTAACCAAATGGTGTTAAATTCATTAGTGTTGAGTCCATATGGATGATGTTGAATCCGTCCATTTTGGTATTGATGCCATACCGGTGCTACCAGTACCGCTTGGTGTCGAATCAAGCCATGTCGGCAGTAATAGTCAATAGATATTCATTTGTGTAATAAAAGTGCGATTCTCAAATGTTAATGTAACCGAATTAGTTAAGCATTGTTTAATATCGAAATTATCAATAGCAGGCGATTACATCGTAACGGCATTACCCTTGACGCTTCAGCCCACATTATTCTATACATGAACTGCTATTGCATAACCTCGACATCACTATTAATTTCTGGCTATCATTATTCTGTAAATAAAACGCCATCGAACCTCAAGACATTATTACTAATGACTTAGCTAGCATTATTCTACTAGTGAGAGTCCATTTCACCGCGCAACATCATTGTTAATAGATATAGCTGTCACTATTCGCACGAGAGACGAGCGGTATACGCTGTCTTTTCATGATATGTATACGATCTTTCCATGATCCTTTGGTGTTCCTTGCATGATCCTTTGATGTTCCTTGCATGATCCTTGCATGATCTTTCTATGATCCTTTGATATTTTTTGTACGATCTTACCATGATCCTTTAATGTTCTTTGCACGATCCTTTGATGTTCCTTGCACGATCCTTGCATGATCTTCGATGCTATTTGCATGATCTTTTGATGCTCCCTGCATGATCTTTCTATGATCCTCTGGTATTTTTTGTACGATCTTTCCATGATCCTTTAATGTTCTTTCCATGATCATCTATTGTTCCTTACATGATCTTTCCATTATCTTGCCATGATCCGATATATCTACGTTTATTGTAACACGAGCACCTGCAACATAACCACAAATTTCAAAACCAAACATTAAATTAGTAAAATCAAATTAAGAAAAACTCAAGTCGACAATTCAAGCTCCAAAAGTTTGTTTCAAAAAATAATATTCAAAATTTAAATTACCAAATTTCTGTCTGACCTCTTTTTATCAAAAATCCTAGACAATTTTTAAAAATCTAGCAGCCAATACATTCTACCCGTACGCTCTGTCTAGTCAATTTGACCAAAAAAGCTATATTACAGCACATAATTTATTTAAATCTTCGAATATTGAATTTCGATCATAAAACTATTTGTGCATACTCATGCTTCCGCCTCAGGTATAAAATATTTCAGTAGCAACATTTCCGCCCAATACAAAAAATTAGACCAATCTCAATTTGTACGAGTTGTATACGACAATTTTTTCCCTCTCTTAAAAAAAGGCACGCTGCATTTAGCCGTTGCTATGTTTTATATCCCCGAAACACACTTTGCACGATAAATTGCATTGCATTTTACATTTTTTGGTGCTAATGAACAGAGGTCACTGGCTCGCGACAGCCACGCTATGAAACTTCATGTCGCCCGGACGACGATATCTGAACCTCATTCAGTCAGTGTGCATTCTGCCTTTGCCGAGGTAGGGTGTGTCAAAAGTTTATCGCGGTCCAGCAAAGCGTTCACATCGCCGTGTTAGCCTATGACATACAAGTAATATAAGGATATCTAATCATGCTACGGTGAATAGTGTCCAAGTGGATATTCTATATTGTAAGCCATTAACTGTTCTGGAATCAATATTTTGACTGGAAAATGAAGCGAAGTGGGCTCGAAGCGTGAAGACGCGTTCTACACATGCATGCTTGTCAGGTAAGCGCGACTTTCAGGATACACCTGACTCATTAACGGTTAACCCAAGCTTTTACTCCTTAAAGTTGCTCTTCCCAACTCCGGTGAAATCAAAAACTTGTGGCTTTCGCTCAAATTGAAAGGTAAAAGTATAGTCTCTAATTGGTTTAAAGTCACGTGTGTTCATGAGATGATGAGACTAACCTTACTTACAGGCAGGAGGAAAATTAGGTTCCTCTCTTTCGGCGTTAGTTTCTTTGGTTTGACGATGACTTCTTTCTTGCTTCGAATTTACTTTCTTAAGTTGTTCAGTATCCTTCAACATTAAAATAGTTCATCTCATAAAAATCTGTATTCATCAGTGAAGTGTAGATAAATTATGTCATGTAACCTGACACCTGTGCTTTTCCAGCTGCTGGAATCGGAGAGCTGTTATCTTCCAGTGGCTGAAATGGCCGAGCTGTTCCCTTCCAGCTGCTGGAATAGCAGAGCTGTTCTTCCAGCTGCTGAAATAGCAGAGCTGTTCCCTTCCAGCTGCTGAGAAATAGCAGAGCTGTTCCCTTCCAGCTGCTGAAATAGCAGAGCTGTTCCCTTCCAGCGCTGGAATAGCAGAGCTGTTCCCTTCCAACTGCAGGAATAGCATAGCTGTTCCCTTCCAGCTGCTGGAATAGCAGAGCTGTTCCCTTCCAGCTGCTGGAATAGCAGAGCTGTTCCCTTCCAGCTACTGAAATTGCAGATCTGTTCCCTTACAGCTGCTGGAATAGCAGATGTCCCTTACAGCTGCTGGAATAGCAGAGCTGTTCCCTTCCAGCTGCTGAAATAGCAGAGCTGTTCAATTCCAGCTGCTGGAAAAGCAGAGCTGTTCTTCCAGCTGCTGGAATAGCAAAGTTGTTCTCTTACAGCTACTGGAGAAGCAGAGCTTTCCTCTTCCAGCTGCTGGAAAAGCAAAGCTGTACCCATCTAGCTACTGGAATAGTAGAGCTCTTCCCTTCCAGCTGTTGGAATAGCAAAGTTGTTCTCTTACAGCTACTGGAGTAGCAGAGCTTTCCTCTTCCAATGGCTGGAATCGAGGAACTGTTCCCTTCCAGCTGCCGTAATCGAAAGTTTTCTTAAGTTACATTGCGCTGCCGCCAGAATGTCATTGGCCTTCTTTTGAGTTGCTTTTCGTTTCAGATCCAATCAAAAAGTTATCACTTATTCGCTGTGAGAGATACTTGCTGCAATATTTCCTGATTTCACGATAGGAAACTCCAATTATTTTTTATTCAAAATTAATGATGCACCAAGGAATTATGAGACTAATAATCGCCAGGAGAATTCAAATTGTCTAAACTAAGCAATCGGGGCAGAGATGATTAATTTATTTCCAAATCCGTTTAGGATACGAAAACTTGTGGTTTTAGCTGTTGCAAACAGTGGTAAATTCTCAAGTGTTCGGATGGTCCACGTCACGTGTAAATATAAAGTTCACTTTTTAATCGATAGCTTTAATGACGTTGAGAACCTGTCGCTAGAATTTCAAACAATCCAGAGATTTTCGTGAGCAATACGACGGGACAAACTCGGACGACATTTCTGGGATTACTGGCCGGCTGTGATGAAAATCCGGGAAAGTCATTGGATGTCTGATCTACGATGTAATAAGAATTTTTCTTTTATATTGCATGCATTGCTTGAAACATTCCAAGGCTATCAGCCTAGGACCATCAAGATATTGAACTGCTTTTACCTATCACGGAGGATCAATCATGCTTGTAATTCCGAATCTACTCGATTCCGGTCACGAACCAAATTATTCCTGGTATCCTCGTCGGTCTACAAGACTCTGAGTTCATAATCAATGTGTAGTCTGTGGCTTATAAGCATTAAAAAGCCACTTGAAGAACCAGAACATGTGTTGAAGTACATTTCTCATTCACCTCAACGTCTGTCACGGTGGCTTAATTGCCACTTCATTGTAGGTACTACGAAATTTGAGGGAATAGTTTTAGAATTTCAATTTTGCTACTGCATTAACTCTCAGAAGCTGTTTGCTAGATATATGGTCATTTGCATAATGATTAGGCTCTGGGGAAGCTGCCATTTTCAATAATTTTTGCTGCACGAGCATCTGCATTAACGCACGAACTGAACTAACTATTGCTCTTGATAACTTGTGCACCTACAAAGTTAACTATAGTGACATAACCGCTAGTGAAAGCTAATATAAGAAGAACTGGGAAATTTGAAGTGTAATACGAAGTTCTCGGCTTTTCATAAATCTTTATGAAAAGTTTAAGTATAGGATTGCGTCATCCCAGTTCACCAAATTTTATATCGTCACAATGTGCGGACTTGGCCTGGGACTGGGAGATGATACGTCGATACATTCACTCAACCGCCATACTTTTTAGCCTTCACTTTTTAGCCTTGATTCACTCCATCCTTCCGGGCGCAGGCCAACTATATGCCAGTCGCGGTACGTTACCTACCAGGTGCATTCACATGTTTGGTCCGGTCACGGGCCGTCCTCACTCCAGATCTTATCGCGTCACTTGCCATGCCAGTCACACAGCGTTGCTAACTGGCATATTTCCATACCAGATGTCACAAATCTGGTATGGTGAGATATTGCATGGTATGGATATTTTTGCTATGGTATATCTGCTAAATTCTGTAGTGTTGAGCTAGGAATTTGGTATACTCGACAAAAAAATAGTTGTTAAGCTGCATTCACGTCGGTCAAAATATCCTTTTGCCTTGATCGTGGCTGGACCGTGTCTTGCACGGCAGCAGGTGTCTTGCACGGCAGCAGGTGTCTTGCACGGCAGCAGGTGCTGATATTCGTGTTGAGGAGACCACACTGTCTGACCATCGACTAGTGGTGGTCAAGACAACAATTGAGAGGGGAACCCAGCCAAGACCTACACCTCGAGAGGGGCTAGCTGGGCTAAATTTCCATCATCGAAGAACAGACTGGGGAACGAACTCCATCGAATATTCCTATTGGGAACGAACTCATCGAAATTGACTGGAGATCTGAGTTCCTGGAATTAAACGCCGAAACAATTTACAACAAACTGTGCCAAATATTACTGCAGGTATGCGTGCGTCACACGCCGGAAAAGGCGACCCCCAAACGCCACATAATCCCGAGGGACAGACGGATCCTTATGAGGAAACGAGCGAGCTTGAACAACCAGATAACGGCTGCCTCCGGGAATATAGAGAGGCAGAGGCTGGAACATCTAAAGGTCAAAATTGAGGAAACTGAACGACAGTTGCTGGACTCACATGAGGCCGAGCAACAAATTGCAGAGGCGCAAGCTGTGTCTGCCATTCGAGAGAATCCCAAATATTTCTACAAATATGCCCGGTCAAAGGCCAAAATCAGAGCCGCAGTGGGGCCTCTGAAAAATAACGATGTCCTTGTTGGAGACGACAAGGGCATGTGCGAACTTCTGGGAGCTCAATTTGAAAAAGTATTCAGCGAACCCCGATACTCAAGGCNTGCACGGCAGCAGGTGTCTTGCACGGCAGCAGGTGTCTTGCACGGCAGCAGGTGTCTTGCACGGCAGCAGGTGTCTTGCACGGCAGCAGGTGTCTTGCACGGCAGCAGGTGTCTTGCACGGCAGCAGGTGTCTTGCACGGCAGCAGGTGTCTTGCACGGCAGCAGGTGTCTTGCACGGCAGCAGGTGTCTTGCACGGCAGCAGGTGTCTTGCACGGCAGCAGGTGTCTTGCACGGCAGCAGGTGTCTTGCACGGCAGCAGGTGTCTTGCACGGCAGCAGGTGTCTTGCACGGCAGCAGGTGTCTTGCACGGCAGCAGGTGTCTTGCACGGCAGCAGGTGTCTTGCACGGCAGCAGGTGTCTTGCACGGCAGCAGGTGTCTTGCACGGCAGCAGGTGTCTTGCACGGCAGCAGGTGTCTTGCACGGCAGCAGGTGTCTTGCACGGCAGCAGGTGTCTTGCACGGCAGCAGGTGTCTTGCACGGCAGCAGGTGTCTTGCACGGCAGCAGGTGTCTTGCACGGCAGCAGGTGTCTTGCACGGCAGCAGGTGTCTTGCACGGCAGCAGGTGTCTTGCACGGCAGCAGGTGTCTTGCACGGCAGCAGGTGTCTTGCACGGCAGCAGGTGTCTTGCACGGCAGCGGGTGGCTTATGCACAGCAACATGCGTCTTGCTGTATATAAATGCATATAAATGCATTAAAGAATATTGGACTGGACCATGACCGGCTCGTGCCCGGCATATACCAGTCAACTTTCAGGACAATATTCTTCAATGCATTTCTATGGAATCATTCACACCAGCCGTGCAGGGCACCTGCCGTGCCCATGATGTTTATGCTTACATGGAAATACATTAAACCATTGAACTGGACCATGACTGGCATATGCCCTGGCACATGCGCGCTAGGATGGTGTGAACCAAGCCTTGGTATCAAATTTAACATTTCCAGTTTGGTTTTCAAAATGTTCAAATTTTTTAATCTAGTTGTGACACATTGATGCTTTGGCTGCTCGTCAATCTAGTCCAATCTGTTAAAAATGGAACTTCGATCTTGTTGCATGATCTCAATTCTTCTACTAATTGTATTTACTCCTCACAGCAATAATTATTAAATTCACAAGATAGACCTTCTTGCGTCCATGGCTTTCATTTGGATTTCAACTCGCGCGTCATTAGTCTTCTAATTAACTATTCATGATTTATCTATGATTAATAATGAATAAAAATATTCGGAACACGTAGTTGCTCTAGTCCAGATTTTTTTAATTTGATGGTAATTTTACCATTCAAAATTTTGTTTATCCGCAGTAGCAGAGCGGGGTAACTCTGATGGTCTCTGTGTTTAAATCAAACTGCAGCCTCTTCTATTCAATTTTCTTCGGTTGTACTCTTGTAAAATCCAATTTACAAACACACTCTGTACGCGCTCTGTACTAGGAAGTGCAACGCGTTATAAATAATGCATTTTGAAAAGGCGCTTCTGTTTGGCTGGCGCGTCGGTAGCGCCGCTGTTATCGTGATCTGTATTTTTCCTAGCTGAATTTTGCGCCGGTGTTTGCGTTTCTGATGAATTTCTTGCGCATTACGGACATTTTTGTGGCGTATGGATAGAGACGAAAAATTCTTGCTCCTTGCAGTTGAGCGTGACAAACTGCTTTGAAATTTTGCACTCGTTGTCTCTGCGGCGCGAAGATTCAGACATTTCTTTAGGGCCAGATGCATTTGAAGTTTTGTTTTAATGTTGACTTGCACTTATTATGTAGCGTGAAGAAATTTTGGTAAATAGTAGGTATCGGTATAATGAGACCTTGTAAAAGTATTGGTGTATGATGTCTTGGTAATTCTGTGTGTATAAATTTCGATGAACTTGTTGTTTGGGTTGATATTTAAACTCCAATATCACCCCTACCCCAGGAATCTGATGCAATAATTTAATTTTAGCAAAATGTAGTGAATTATATAATGGTGGAATACGTGTATAAATGGTTCTAGAGGATATTCTTGAGGTATAATACGTAGAAATGTTGATGATAACCTGATAGTATGATATGTGTTGGAATGAGTGAGTGGAGCGACCATTTACTTTGTCAAAAATTAAATCGAAAAGTTACCATTGATAAAGTGAAAAAAAAACGCTCAGAACAATGTTTTAATCAAAGTCACGTGTATTATTTTATTCACACTTCATAACTGATTATGAGATTATGAATTTTATTTTAATATCCTTTTAAATTTCTCTATTAATTGATGATTTAATGAGCTTCATCTCTTTGTTTAGGTGATTCAGGAGACAATTTCAATTTCCTTTTAAGAAATGTCATATCGCTGCGCTCTTCAACTTTGTTAACGTGTTCCGTGCATTTATCGATTCTGGCCAATCAAACGAACATTCAATATCAGGATTTTGATTCTGCGTATTTTTCAATCTTTTGTATGTGGCAATTTCCCATAGAAATATGTCAGATTGGTGTTCATTCTGCTATGTTTTTTTTTATTTAAATCGCTTTTATTACTGCCAAAAATTCGCTTTTTATTACCGCCACTTGCGATCAATCTCAGTATCTGTAATTGTGTGCGAGTTGGAAGTAGACTTCGAGCGTGGGATTTTTTCATCTCAGCACACACGTTGCCATTTAAATATCAACGCCTGACCTCCGGACGCGCGAGTCTTGTAAGCGGCGGCGGGAATTTCTCGCGAGGTCGCCTGCATCGAGAAGCGGCCTTCCCGATAGCGCGACCACCGTCATAGAAGCTATTTATTTTTGCACAGTCATATACCTACCGGTATAATGGTTCTTTCGGCCAAGTTGGTCATTTTAAAATGTTTTCCTGGTTTATTTGTTATTTTTATTATATATTCGTAACGGAGTTCTATTGGTACCGGTGTTGTATTCGTACCGGAGTTCAAAATTCGTACCGGAGTTCAAAATTCGTACCGGAGTTCAATATTCGTACCGGAGTTCAATATTCGTACCGGAGTTCAATATTCGTACCGGAGTTCAATATTCGTATCGGAGTTCAATATTCGTATCGGAGTTCAATATTCGTATCGGAGTTCAATATTCGTACCGGAGTTCAATATTCGTACCGGAGTTCAATATTCGTACCGGAGTTCAATATTCGTACCGGAGTTCAATATTCGTACCGGAGTTCAATATTCGTAGGTATACCGGAGTTCAATATTCGTAGGTATACCGGAGTTTAATATTCGTAGGTATACCGGAGTTCAATATTCGTAGGTATACCGGAGTTTAATATTCGTAGGTATACCGGAGTTTAATATTCGTAGGTATACCGGAGTTCAATATTCGTGTGTACTGGAGTTCAATATTCGTAGGTATACCGGAGTTCAATATTCGTGTGTACCGGAGTTCAATATTCCTGTATACCGGAGTTCAATATTCGTGTATACCGGAGTTCAATATTCGAAGGTACCGGAGTTAAATATTCGTAGGTACCGGAGTTCAGTATCGTACCGGAGTTCAGTATTCGTACCGGAACTTCTATCCATTATTTACGGATTTAACATTTTTCAGCGCTATTTGCACTATTCTGATTTCTCGTTCCTAAAAGTTTTAAAAATAGTGAGCATCAGTAGATTATTTATCCTAAGCTTTCATTACAGTCAGATTTTTTCGGTGTTGAGTTTGTGATGAGTATGTCTCCGAAATTGTTGGATAAGTTTTGAGCTGGACTCAACACTAATATCAATTATTCGTTAGATATTAACACTGAAATAAGTTATTTCTAGCACAATATAGTGTTATTCCTATCAGAATTAGGAGTTGCCGCCCACTGCTCTTGCTTAAATGAATGATGAACTAATCCACATTTCGCTGTTCCGCCATGAATTTTAAATGAAGCTCTTTGACTCATGAATAAAATGTATTCCTCTTATACGTTGGTAACTTATACTTTATACGTCAAAGCGTAAGCAGCGCTCGACCAAACACGAACGCATCATCGACATACATGTGGACTAGTAACATAATAGGGATAGTGACATAGTAATATAGGGACTATATAGGGAGTAATATAGTAATATATATAGTAATAGTATAATAGTAATATATATAGTAATAGTAATATAGGGAATAATAGGGACTTGTTCATATCCCTATTATGTCACTATGTGACATAATAGGGATATGAACAAGTGAACATGTGTTGAATCTGGAAATTTGACACCATATTTTCCTTTTGTATGCCGCTGATACTTTTAAACTAATATTGAATATATGAACCACCATTCTAGAATTTCACCCTGCACCGTGAATGCTGCTCATGCCTGCGTTTTAGAACAACTTCGACATGTTAGAAACGCAATTCTAAAAAAAACACTGCTTAAAATTCTTCGCAGTGCGCTATAAGTTTTTATACTGTAATTATTGAGAAAATATTTCAACTGAAATGATAACGTATTTTCTTTTAGGAACAACATATTGGCACTTGAGAAAATTGAGTGAAGATTATGGATGTAAGTATGTAAAGACTTTTACTTCAAACCTCCTGCGACTGTTTGACCTGACCTGCAGTGAGGCCTAGCAGGTTCTGGCAAGTCGCGACAGGTTCTGCTACTCAACCTACAACCTCTACATTCTGGGCTTCCTCCCCCTCTCTTCCACCGACCTCCCTCTTCCACCGCCTCCCTCTTCCACTGACCTCCCTCTTCCACCGCCTCCCTCTCCCACTGACCTCCCTCTTCCACCGACCTCCCTCTTTCACCGACCTCCCTCTCCCACTGACCTCCCTCTTTCACCGACCTCCCTCTTCCACCGCCTCCCTCTTCCACTGACCTCCCTCTTCCAACGCCTCCCTCTCCCACTGACCTCCCTCTTCCACCGACCTCCCTCTTTCACCGACCTCCCTCTCCCACCGACCTCCCTCTTTCACCAACCTCCCTCTTCTACCGACATCCCTCTTTCACCGACCTCCCTCTTTCACCGACCTCCCTCTTTCACCGACCTCCCTCTTTCACCGACCTCCCTCTTTCACCGACCTCCCTCTTCCGCCGACCTCCCTCTTCCACTGACCTCCCATTTCCCTTCTTCAATTCCCCCACATTTCTCCTTCATTTCCCTCTCCCTTCTCACAATGCCCCTGTAGAGCCGCTCGCCTCCTCTCACCACAGGTCTTCGCATCACTGAAAATTAAATTAATAAAAATCGCTCGTTCTCGACAATATCGAAAGGCAAATTACTTACCAACAAATTCCCTTCATTTGGATAAATTTCTATTGATATTTAGCTCCTATATCATTGAATGACTTTACACAGCGTCTGCAATGTAGTTTTATAGAGAGAGAACTTTACACTAAAAATACACGAGCGTCAAAATATACCTTATAGACCTAGAGCTGAAATTAGCATCCTCTAATGGAAGCTTTTCCGATGCAAGTGTCGGTTACTGTCTATATTTATTTATTGCTTTCTATACATAATATCTATTGTAATTTATATCTCTGCACGAATCTATTTCAATCGATCCTGGCCATTACATTATTTTAACTATATTCATCCATATCATTTTTGTCTGTTGATTATTTAGAGAAAATTTCGACATAGGTTTTTACGTATTTCTGTTTATCATCCAACGTCGGCTGCTGATGAAATTACTAGCCTTTCATCGATCCACGTTTTATTCATATCGGCGTGCACCATATGTCGTGTACATGATGGAAATTGAAGGCTTAGTTGACCCATTGGTGACCTATGGGCAATTTGTGGACCGATTATATATAAGTGAATTTGTAGTCAAATCTGCCGTGGTGTTCAAAGATTGATGCTATGAATTGCATCTGACGCCATAAAATAAAGGCTATTTAAATTATGTGGACTATCATTAACAGAAGTGTAAGTGCAAGCATTTTTTCATCCAATTAAAGCATCGAACGATTTGGCCATCACTTCGGCGGAATTCCAAGTTTCAGAAGCAACATCTGATTCTTAGTATAATTCAATACTAAAACTTGCAGTGTTACTAATCATTGTAAAACTTTATTAATGTGCAATACTAAAACTCGCAGTGTTACTGATCATTGTATAACTTTATCAATGTACGATACTAAAACTCGAGTGTTTTGAAGCGTTCCTTTGTCATGCGCGGGGGCGAAATCCAGGTTCGCCGGTCCGGCGAGAGGTGCGCCGGTAAACTGGAAAGCTCGGGGCGGTCGACGCTGACCCTATCCCTTCATCCGCCCCTCACGGCGCCCTTGAATTGCATTATCCTGGCTTGGATATATGCAGCCCTGAGGCACGCGGCAGCCCTGGCTCAGGACAACTCTTAGGTCCTGCATACCGGGGCCACAATACAGGGAACAAGAGCGTTGCTCTCATAGCGGTGTTCTAGGAACCTGCTTCTGATGGCGGTCCTGCTACGGATGATGGGTTCCATTTGTCCTGCATCTGTTTGTCCTTCTGATAAGTGGGCTTGTTATGCCTACATCTGCTTCCCCTCTTGTTGATGATGGGGTCTGTTGTGTCTGCATCTGCTGCTCCTTCTGATGATGGGGTCTGCTGTGCCTGCATCTGCTGCTGCTTCTGATGATGGGGTCTGTTGTGCCTGCATCTGCTGCTGCTGCTTCTGATGATGGGGTCTGTTATGTCTGCATCTGATCTGATGATGGGGTCTGTTGTGCCTGCATCTGCTGCTGCTGCTTCTGATGATGGGGTCTGTTGTGCCTGCGTCTGCTGCTGCTGCTTCTGATGATATGGGGTCTGTTGTGCCTGCGTCTGCTGCTGCTGCTTCTGATGATGGGGACTGTTAGGTCTGCAATTGTTAAACCACGACTCAGGCTTACCTCTTTATCCATCGATGAATATTTTCGTATCGCTATCAGCTTATCTCACCAACTCTTTATCTTCGTACCGCTTATCTCCGTAATTATTCTTATCACTGCGATGCTGTGGGTGGATTGATGAAACTTATTGCTGATCCCCGCATCGGATCTCTTAGTTCGTAAAACTTCCATTATTTTTATCATCAATCCCAAACGCTGTTGCTGACGAATGCTTGACTTGGAATCTTCAAGTGAAGTTTACATGTAGAATTTTAGATTATTCCGTCAAAATTTTTACATAATATCAGTACGTTTGAAATTTTATACGATATATAATAACGGCTAATATTTTCTGAACAAAATTCCCAAGCAATTACACTTGTAATGACTTTATCAATTGGCGATTTTTGTTTTATAGGCTATTCATAATTCATATACTTTAAATAATGCTAATCAAAATTGTATGTTATACGTTCTCGATTTGATTTTTATTAGTTCTTGATTCCGATTATTCTGCACTGAAACTTCAGCATTTCCTCACATCTTTATATATAACGATTAATTTTAAGTCTCTAAAAAGTATTTTACCCTCTAGATTTTAAGTTCTTGACTTAAAACTTTAAGCTCCTTATTCTTTTTATTTGAAGCTCCTTGTTCTTATCTTTGGTCATTTTTTACAATAAAATGTATGATTGAATGAAGGAATTCAATTATTCTAATTATAAGGCTTGACCTTCTGTTGCACAATATCCTGCCGCATGTCCTGGGTCACGCCTCGCTTCCTGTAGGACATTTCGCTGTTTTCCTGCCGCGCTCGTCGACCCATATTGGGCTTTGGCAGGCGCATCGGCGGCCACAGCTTGGACAGCTAATCGGCGGCCAAAGATTGGCCAGCTAATAGGCGGCCACAGCTTGGCCAGCAAATTGGCGGCCACAGCTTGGACAGCTAATTGGCGGCCACAGCTTGGCCAGCTAATCGGCGGCCACAGCTTGATCAGCTAATCGGCGGTTAAAGATTGGACGGCTAATTAGCAGCCACAGATTGGCCAGCTAATCGGCGTTCTTTGATTGGCCAGCTAATCGGCAACCACTGATTGGCCTGAAATCACAGACTCAAATAACTTGACGATGATTAGTAGCAACTGCGATTATAATGGTTCTTTCGTATTTGTTCTTGCCTTTGCTACTTGCGTCTCCTTGTTGTTTTAATATGTGGGACTGTCATGCCGCCTATGTGTTTTTGCCTAATATGTGCTGCGTTTGAATTTTCATCAGTTCATTTTTGATGGCACTTAATTATGTTGATTAATTATGGAACGATGATATTTGTTCTTCGTTAACGGTACTCGCTGGTACTCGCTGGTACTCGCTGGTACTCGCTGGTACTCGCTGGTACTCGCTGGTACTCGCTGGTACTCGCTGGTACTCGCTGGTACTCGCTGGTACTCGTTGGTACTCGCTGGTACTCGCTGGCACTCGCCGGTACTCACTAACACTCTTCTGACTCNGTACTCGCTGGTACTCGCCGGTACTCGCTGGTACTCGTTGGTACTCGCTGGTACTCGCTGGCACTCGCCGGTACTCACTAACACTCTTCTGACTCACAGGATCGCGTCTGTTTCGTGAGAATCAAAGACGAGCTTGTGTGCCTACGCTCAACATGGCCTTGTGTAGCAATGCTCTATCCAGTGCAATCGCCGGCCTGTAATAACGTTATTCCTACCTGAATTGTTAATCATATCAAAATAATCTTTTTGAAATTGCCTTAGCCCATGAAATGTCACGATCTAATGACGGTATTCCTACCTAGACTGTATGATCTTTCTATAGGTTTCTTCTTGCCAATGAAATTTATTCATCATTAAAATTTCTAGATTAAGTTATTACAATATTTAAAGGGCAATTACAGGTTAATATATTGCATCTGTTCACATTCTTGATCAAAATTGATGACGCTGTAGTTTTGAACCTGCTAGACCTGACATAAGTTATACACCTACAATACACCCACAGGTATTCACTCTTGTGCACCATAATTTAGTGATTTAAAGTAACGATCTTTCCAACTTTTCCTGTGAAGCGTCGTTCATTATTCAAATCAATAATCATCAATTTTATTCCAGATATATATACTTTGATAGTTTATCATTGAAATTCTGAATTTTAATGCGTTGTGTTTCAAAATATTCTTTAAAGATACCGTTTTGGCGTATTTTCTCTATCAAATGGTGGTGCATCTGGTATACTTTCAAATACTTTCAATACTTTCTGGAATACTTTACTTTTCATATGGAATACTTTTCTTTTTTTTTTACATTGTATTTTAATGGAATTCATCCATCTACATGTATCTTATTGAGGTCCAGAACACAGCCCACTCTAGAAGCAGCACTTCCCTCGGCAACCTAATACGCTCGCATTCCCCTCTGACTGCGAGGGTAAGTGCCGAAGTTGTCTCACGAGGGACCGTCGAGCCCTCGATATTTCAATGGGAAAATGTCCCATTTAAAGTCATTGAAGATATTATCATGAGTAAAGTTTCAAATACTTTGTTTTATTCTTCCATGAGAAAATGTATCGTTATTCGCCAACATTGGTTAATTTCCTAGCATAACTTCTTGGTTTGGCTTCAGCCCTAACATCTATGTTATCCATGTCTTTAATCAGCTTTGAATACATAAAATATACAAACTTGCACCTCAATTTATCACTGGTTGAAAACTTGTTTTGTTCATCACAACCATCGTTCATTCTTCGACCGCGCCCAAGCCACCGAAATTCCACCCAAGGTTTATAATTGGCCTATCTAAGGCCTCCAAAGCCCATGACAGATTGCGTCCGGAATGCCGTGCGTGCAATATTTTTAGTTTTCTTCGTTATAAATATCAGCGTTAATAAATCGTCGTGCTCGGCTCATGCTCGTATTTACTTTCGGTATTTCATTTGGGGCTGAAATGAATCATCTGCCGCCGTGAATGAGATTCAATCGATGAGTCGATCGGCGGTCCAAAGCTTCCTGGAACGTTGCACCGTATGGCAAAAAAAAAAAAAATTTCAGGCGCAAACTTTCATGTTTTCTCACCACTTGGTCAACAAATTACCTGCAAAATATAGAAACTCGAAATATTGTCTTGCCATTAACTGTGTGAAAATAAATTAAGTTGTGGCATAGTAAAGGAGTTATAACCGCGTATTTTTTCGCAGTTCTACATGATAAATAAAAAGAAATTTAATTTTATATTATTTAATTTAAAATTTAATTTTAAATTAACGATTTTGAATGTTAATGTGATATACTATGGTGTAATTTTCCATGGAAAAATTTTGATTCAGCATTTTTTTCAACGAGGAATCTTCTTTTCTTGACATTCGTACGATTGATTGCATGCGCTTGCAACTTCAACCAGTAAAATTTCTTGTCAAGCGGATTGGGATCTAGAAATTTAATGGGCCGTTATTTTCTTGTGTTCACTGATCCTCGATTGCTGGCGTTGTTGCTACGATGTCGCAGTTGTCATTAAGTTAACCGAGAAAACTACTTAATAATATGATTTTATGTTTCAATAATTGCTCTTTACTATACCGACATTAATATATTCGCGAGCAATCCAAACTCGCGACACTTAGATCGCTACATTTAACTGTGGGAGTGGTGTACGTTGGCGCAATGTTTGGGCAGAATTATTACAGCTTTCTAATAATAATATGCATTAGTATATTATAATATTACAGCGTTTAATAACTGAATTTTTCTGCCGAGTCTTTCAAACCGCATATTCGAATTTACCATTATCAGTGATAAGATATTGTGTCCCTGCTCATACCAACAGGTCGTTGGGTCAGTTTGATTTTCTCACGAGTCAGAAAAGAGCTGTTCGTTAGATCTCGTTTTAATGGATCGTTCATCAGCCATGGCTGCTTTTCGGGGGGGGGGCGAAAACTTAGTTTGTAGTTCGCATTAAGTTTGCTATAGTTTGAGAGCTTTTCCAATTGCCAGCAATGCCCTGAATTGCGAGAACTGTTTCTACATCTTTATTGATTGACAATATATGTTCCAATATGTGCTCGCAACATGACGTGCAAGAAAAATTTATTGTTAAAGATCAAACGAATGTGCCAGATACTCCTGCTCTGCACTGTAAACTGGCATTGTATATGCAGTTTAAACATACAAGGTTCATCTATATTGCCATGTATGACCTTGCATGAACGATGCAATTTGCACTGCCGGAGCCTGTATCCTGATGACGTACGAACTGACAGCTGAGATTTGTATTGTTGTTACAGAGCTCGCAATAGCCTCGTATTGCCTCGCAAATTGATTGACTTGGAATATTTCATCACAATTTTTTTTCTTTTGCTATTAGAAAGCTGCACATGGATTTTAATCGCGATTGAGCTTCATAAATTATTATTTTAAAATCGCAAAACTCATATTAACAACTCTTGAATGGAATTTCAATCAATGATATGTATATTTCATCAGTGGTCACCTATTGCTTTCTTTGAATGTTATAAAAGAACGCGTCGATGAGGATCATATGCACTCATGAACAGTAGCGAAGGAGTTGCCGGACCCGAACTTAATTATGTTTGAAGATTATGTATAAGCAGCGAAATTAAAATACGGTCCGGTCAAAAAATAGCAAAAAACATGTAAAGAATTTAAATCTAAACATAACTAGAAATGAATATGAGAACGTATAACGTATTAGTAATATATAAATCAAAGTTCTTTGGGTATGAAGTGAGCCATGCAGTAGCAGGCGCCGTTCTCAGGCATGCAGCAGACCAAGCACTGAGCGGTCGCTTCGATAAGCAAGCGTTGGCTGCTCACACATCCGGTGCTACCAAACTTATCAATTCCTTTGCTTAGTTTTTGCCCTGGCATGGGTGCTAATGGCTGAGGTATGGAGTCTCAAGGCACTCAAGAGTGCTGATACTCAAGCACTCAGGAGCGGTGAGTGTTCAATCCACTTGAACGTCAATCTTTAATAGCGAGTGGTCGATCCTTACCCTTTTTTAAGCCTCGCCATGATTTTCTTACAGTGATTTCACCTCAGATTATGCAATGTTAGCCTGTCGCCGGTTTTCAACCACCCGACCACCTTGCCATTTCGAATAAAATTTTCGTAATTAGTTGTGGGTCCCGAGCTTGAATCAATGAACTTACCACACTGAACTGAATGAACTTACCATGGGCCTATTTCTTCAACGCCGACACTTCTATTCTATGACTCCACTCTCTCGGATCATGTCTCCGGCCCCTGTATGCTTGCGTGCTAATTCCTGCCTCCAATGACTTGAGGTATTCCTAAAAGCCAGTGATGCCGAGGCATTCAATTCATTCTTACACTGAAGGATGTCTTAAAAAACCACCGCGGGTTCGTCAAAGGCCGAGCACGACGCGCCGGACAAAGAATGCTGGCCCGCTTCTGTGCGTCCATGAAAGAGACGAAAGGGAAAGTGTCGGGCGCCGCTGGCTTATGTCGCCCGCGCGGCTGCAGTCAAATTTCTTTATAATGCCTATACTTTCATAAAAAGTTAAGAGATCGTAAGTTCATCTGCCAATAATTGACGGCCTTTCGAGCAAAATCCAACAATCATAGACAAGAAAATAGAGCGTAAGTACTTACCTTTACTTAGCAAATTTTGAAAGTATAGGACCTGACTCCGGCCCAAGCTTGATGTTTCGCTGAATATTCGTCCTCGCGATCATTTATGAAACTAAAATGTTTGACTTTGGCTCATTTACAATCAATAAACTAAGTTTATATTATAGGTTATAATGAAGACAAATTCAATTAACGCGCATATTTGCTGCTG